GAGGTCACTGAAATTACTCAAATTCACCAATTCTAAACTCTCTGAAACTTGCCTCCTCTGCCTTACCCATTTCTTTCCATGAAACCACCTTAAGGCTCCGGGTCCTGCTCTCTCCTACACTCCTTCTGCCTCCTGACCAACCCTGGTACTTCCCCACGGCTCGGCATGGTGTGGTGTGTCCCTTCTCTCAGGATCTGCACATGATAAAACTTCTTTCAGTGGCATTGACCTCTCTGTATCATTACTCATTAATCTTCCATGACCCCCTATAAATTATTCCCAGATACTTTCAAAGCATGACCCATGAGTGCTAGCTTCGGAGAATGGAGGGGGCCAGAACCATCCAGTCTAACTATAGCAGAGAGGGGACAGTTTGCCACCCCATTTCCTTGCTTCTGGTAGAAGCAGTACCCATTGTTCCTTCGGGCACACTTTGTGTCCATTCTGAAACTTAGGTTTTAACTTTTCCTTCCTTCTTTTCAATGACCTGCTACTCTAAAAAGTTCCTATTTTTTTTCTGCTGAAATTACGCAGCATCTTCCTGATAGGCTGCCCTGTGTATGGCCCAGACGGTTTCACTTACTGTATGAGTTCTCTATTGCTGCTGTGACAAATGACCACGAACTTGGTGTTTGAAAACAAAATGAATGTATTATCTTACAGTCTGGAGGTCAGAAGTCTGAAGCCAAGGTGTCCACAGGGTTGCTTTCTCTGGAGGCTTTAGGGGAGAATGCATTTCCTTGCCTTTCCAGCTTCTGAAAGCCACCTACATTCCTTGGGTGGTAGCCCCTTCCTCCATCCTCAAAGCCAGCAAAGTCACAGGCTCAAAACTCTGTCTAACCCTGACCCTCCTGCTTCCATCTAAGACTCTTGTTATTCCCTTGGGCCTACCCAGAAAATCCAGGTTAATCTTTCTAGCTCAAGATCCTTAACTTCATCACCTCTGCAAAGTCTCTTCTGCAATGCAGTGTATTCACAGGTTTCAGGGATTAGGATGTGGACGTTTGGGGCCATTATTCTGTCTGCCACGCTTCCCAAATGGAGGCCCATGGCTAATCACTGGTAGGGCCAGGAATGGAGTCTGAGGCTTTAGACCCTGAAACACTTGTCCTTGTTGCTCTGCCACAGTGATGTCTCCATGTGGGACTGGCTGCTGAGTAAAGCGGCGACTTGCATCTGCCCACAAAGCCGGAGGAGTGAAAGGATCACGCAGAGAAGGAAGGGCAGTGTCATCCCGTCTCTGCGGTGACTCACCGAGGAAGTGGGGCGCTGCTTTTAGCTCTGCCTTAGTTGCTTTCTTCAAAGAGGATTCAGACCTTTCTTCCAGAGATGCTTGGGGATTTGGCATTGATAGAAAACACCTTGTTGTTTTTTTCAGAGGAAAAAGCCCGTAAGAAGTAATCATATAATTATCTGTATTTAATCACTCTGACTATAACCCACGTCAGTCCTATTTTTCAGCAGGCATTTGCTGGCCACTTGCAATAGGCTTGTCATGGTGCTGGCTCTTTTAACCACCACGGCCACCCTGTGAGGAAAACCACATTGTTGTTTGTTTACACGTGGAGAAACTGAGGCATGGTGGGGGTAAGAGATGCTAACCTTTTGCCCAGAGTCAACAACTAGGAAGCCGCAAAACTAGGACTTAAACATCAAGTTCGGAACTGCTGTCCATCTGGCCCTTTGCAGTGACTTGCTGTGCAGCCCGGGAAGTTCAGGCACACAGTGGGGTCTGTACATAAAAAGGCAGGAATGGAAACTGGAACATTCCAGTTCCTTCCTAAAAGGAGGAGCCTTGCTGAGTCCCAAGAGCTTCTGCACCCCCTTCTGAAATGACTTTGCTAAACGACCACCGTCAGGGCCCAGGTAACCCTTGCCCCTTCTGGGAAGCCTTCCAGGCCTACTAGCAGGACCTCGTCAAATCTTCTCTTTCCTCTGACCTCACGTTGTCAGTACCACTTCCTAGCACCTAAGTGCTGCTGCATTTCTGAGTGAGGAGCCGCGGCATTGTATTCGTGCAGATTTTTGTTACCCTTAAAGTTTGATGTTGTCTATGAGTAGGAACATGTATTTTTTTTTCCCTTATGGGAATAAGGACTTGGAAAATAGAGGAAAGCTGCATGAAGCTGTGGGAAAGCTGGATAACTGAAGCTCCCAGGGCCATGTGAATGCACAGAGCAGGCTCAGATCTTTGCTTTGTGCCCAGTGAGAGGAGCTGGAGTATCTATCTCACTGAGCACTGAGCCCTGAGCCCTGAGCTTGAGGAAAGCAGCCTTCTAGGAGGAGAAGGAGGGAGGGCTGGTGGTCCATAAGTGTGTTTCGTGAGTGGTGATCAAGGACTATGACCAACAACTCTGCTGTGGCTCAGGGTTTCCTCTACCTGTTGGAGGCATCTGGGAGAGATGCTGGAGGGGTGAGAGAAAGGGGTGCACAGGTTGCCCCCCAGATATTACAGGATAATCTTCCCATCTCAAGATCTTTAATCACCTCTGCAGAATCCCTTTGCCATGTAAGGTGACACTCATAGGTTCTGGGGATTGGGACAGGGACATCACTAGGCTGAGGTGGCCACGGCAGTAAAGCTGGACTAGGTGGACTTGCCTGTTTGCCTAAACCAGTGGTTCTTCATCTGGATCCAGGGCCTCTGGTGTCCATGACGGAGACTTCAGGGAAACCAGTGGCCCTTTTTAAAGTGTGAGGGAGAGGGGCAAATATGGGTTTAAAAATCCGTTTTCCAAGTTCTCTGGAGGAAGAAGAAGTTTTTCCCGAGGAGGCACAGGGTGGCCCACTGTTGGGTTGGGTGGGCCTGGGCCTCTCTCTTTGTTAGATTTATCAAAATGTCTAAGCACTTCCAGAAGTTGAAAGCTAATTTACAGGTTCAATTGTTAGCTGTCCAGGACATGGGGTACCCCTTCAACCCAAGAGATTGCCCTCCGCTGTACCTGGAGAGCATCCCAGCACCTGGCTGGATGTACGTGCTCCAGCTTCTGGTCTCTCTGCTGCCAGCTCCAGACTCTGTATTCTAAGGCCCTGGGAACAGAGACCTGTCTTCAGATCACTGTTGGTGGAACCTCCTCAGGCTGCTTTTAAGGAGACACTTGGAAGCCTCTGGAGAAGATAGAAAACAGGATCACCTACCAAAACCGTGGTGTCCAGCTTTCTCTAAGCACTCGATCAGGTGACCAACTTTGTGTGCCAGGTCCACCCCTCAAGCCTTCAACCAGTGTCATCAAGAGAGCAGTGCATGCCAAGTAGCTCTGCACTGTGTGCTGGCAAAATGCGAGCATCAGGGAGGATGTCACTTTCTCGAGTGGGCCTTAGAACAAGGGAGGACTTGTATGGGGAAGTCAGTCCTTGTGTCGATGCCCTTCAGTTGGCACAAGTCAGTTGCAACAAGCAGAGTCAGGCAATGCCTTTCCTCCACAGAAACAGGCACCCACCGGGCTCCTAGGGACACAGTTATGTCAATAAGGGGAGTTGAGGTTGAGCTGTGTTTATTTTAGGATGCCTTTTAATTCAGTTTAATCAAAATTACTCATAAATTATTGAGTAATTACTGTCTGCTGTTCAGTTCAATCCTCTCAGCCACAGAGCTAGTTTGCTCTGCAAAGGATGCCATCTACCGTAATTGTAGGGTACCCTGTCAACATTTAATCAGCAGTACTTATTAATGTGACATTGATGTGTGGTTCCCACCCCAGCGCTATCAATCAGGCCTGAGCAGCCAGCGTGGGCTCGGACACCATTGCTCTCTGTCACATTACCCAGTCCCTGGGCTCTCGGGCCAGGCACGATGCTCGCTTTTCACTAAATGGACACTCTATCTTTTCAGTTCTACCCAGTTTTTGTCACTGTCGACTTAAACGCTCACGGCCTTCGGAGCTTCAGTCTGGAAGGTCTGGGCCGAGCATTATCAGTCCTCACAGTCCTGTGTCGCTCCCTTCGGTGTTTGCGCACTCGGCCAAATGACTGCGAAATTCCAAGAGATGTGTCCAGAATTGGGCC